GAAAGCAGCGGAGCTTTTATTATGCCACAGTCGTCTGCTTCCGCTCCTTCCGGTCGAGTGTATGTGGGGGGAAAAAGCAGCGCTGTTTTATCATACTAGATACATTTGAAAGTTCTGTTATAATGCTACTCTGTGCTGTCGTCACCGGTCTATTAAAACGCACAACATATTAAAGCGTCTTTGGTGTTTCCATGTTTTTTACAAAACAAAACCGGAAATCGAGGGGTTATGACGTCATTGGCAGGCGACACAATGACACTATAGACACGGTCTGTGTCACTAGTTAAAATTGCTTATTTCTCTGGATTTAAACATTCTTCGAAACATTTGGGATAATGTAAGTACACAAGTCAGCAAAATATACTGTATAACACGTATAATATATGTTCTAGTGGTTTTTGGATATTTTTATTAAAAAATCTATTAAAGGCATATTGTGCCTTTAAGGGTTCTAGGCTAGAGTTCTCTTCCACATTAAACGATAGAATGAGATGATCTGATAAGTCTGCATGGCAGTGTCATGAAGGTTTTTCTCCCCCACGGTCACAACATTAATAATATAATACAAATAATATTTGAAAATTAATTTAGGAAAACAATCTTTATATACAAAAAAAAAAAAAACTTTATAGTGTCTCACTTTCTTTTAATACAATACACTGTCACTGAATAATAATCATCTTATGGTTTTCCAGTGGTTTACTTCAAGGACCGTTATGTGATTAATTTGGCGTACAGCAAAACAAAATAGGCCTTCATCTCAATCAGTGAATTTATTTATTTTATTTTATTTTATTTTAATTGGACAAGCCATTATTGTGTGCTTGTGATTGCGTCTGCGGTGGTTTGGTTGGGACCTTGATACTGCAGCTCCTCCTCACATCACTGAAATTAATGAATATTAATTATTGTTTTACTTTAAAGGATGTTATCTTGTATTATGAAAACAAGAAATAAAGATCTAGAATTTATTGTTAGCATTATTATTTTAATGGCAAGATTTCACATACATAAACAAAAACATCTTAATTCATCTCCTATGTTTGTTTATATGTTTATAATTTGCATTGTTATTATTTGTATGTTCCTGTTCTTTGCAATAAAAAATATCTGGGATATTTTGGCTTCATTTGGGAGGAAATTGAGACACATGTTCACGTTTTCTTCCAATTCTGATTTTGTGAATTGGAATGTGATCAAAGGATTGTGGGTGATTAAAGGGTACGAATGATACACTCGATGCATACTTGCAATATACAGTGGGTATGGAAAGTATTCAGACCCCCTTAAATTTTTCACTCTTTGTTATATTGCAGCCATTTGCTAAAATCATTTAAGTTAATTTTTTTTCCTCATTAATGTACACACAGCACCCTATATTGACAGAAAAACACAGAATTGTTGACATTTTTGCAGATTTATTAAAAAAAAAAAACTGAAATATCACATGCTCAGTATTTAGAGTAGAAGCACCCTTTTGATCTAATACAGCTCTACCTCTCATTCCAGCCTGATGATCCGACGATAGCTGCTCGCATTGTCTAACAGACATTTCTTGCTGTATAAAGGACCATCACCTTCAACTCAACCTTGCCAAGACAGAACTGCTTGTGGTTCCAACAAACCCATCACTTCATCACAATTTCACCATCCAGTTTGGCACATCAACCATAACTCCTTCAAAAACCGTGAGAAACCTTGGAGTTATGATTGATGATCAGCAGAATTTCTCAGACCACATTGCTTAAACTGCCCGGTCCTGCAGATTTGCTTTATTCAACATCAAGAAGATCAGGCCCTTTCTTTCGGAACATGCTTCACAATTCCTTGTTCAAGCTCTTGTTCTGTCCAGGCTGGACTATTGCAATGCTCTCTTGGCAGGTCTTCCAGCCAGTTCTATCAAACCTCTACAATTAATACAGAATGCGGCTGCAAGATTAATCTTTAATGAGCCAAAAGGAATGCATGTCACACCTCTGTTTATCAATTTGCACTGGCTACCAATAGCTGCTCGCATAAAATTTAAGGCATTGATGTTTGCCTACAAAACCACCACTGGCTCTGCACCCCTTTATCTAAATTCACTACTTTAGACTTATGTGTCCTTCAGAAGCTTGCGTTCTGCAAGTGAACGGTCCATTATTGTGCCATCCAAAAGAGGCACAAAATCACTTTCACAGACTTTTACATTAACTGTTCCCTCCTGGTGGAATGACCTGCCCAACTCAATTTGAGCAGCTGATTTCTTAGGCAATAAACGGCCAAAAGTTTTTATTGCTTCTATTTTCCTCATTTGTAAGTCGCTTTAGATAAAAGTGTCTGCTAAATGACTAAATGTAAATGTAAATGCACTTGTGGCATCTTTTTTTGCTGCATTAAACAGTCTGTGTAAATACATCCAAATGTCACTTCAGATGCAGCTTCTGTGACACCTCTGCAGGCAAATATGGATTTTGTTAATATTGGTTTTATTTGATTGATATCAGCCCTATGGTGTCTTATTTATGCTACATGAAAGATGACACATCTTTTCTGAGGTTAGAAGATTTGCCCTTCTAAAGAAAAAAAAAGCCCCAGGAAATCAATTTAAGGGGGTAAAGATCGTTAATGGAAATGTTAATTTCTGTCACTGGTTTAGGATTATTTTTCACTTTTTATCTACAACTCTTTCCAGTCGTATTGCAAACAACAATTCATTATTAAATCATATGCATGATGGCTAAGTGGGTGGCAGTGTTGTCGTACAGCAAGAAGGTCCCCAATGCAATTTTCTGAGTTTGCATATTTTCTCCATGCTTGTCCCTATGTTTCCTCCATGTGCTTCACTTTTTCCTCAAAATTCAAACATGCTGCATAGGTGAAATGGAGACAATAAATTGTCCATAGATGTGAATGTGTCTGTCCAGGGTGTCCCCGTGCACCTGCAGCCCAAGACCAAACAGGATAAGCAGCTTGGAAAATGGATGGATGAATATATAATTTCTCATTCTAAAAATACCAACAAATGGAAGACGGAAATGTTCTGTTGTTTGAGTTCAGCTCTGAGTTAACACTCTTTCCCTTTGGATAGAGAAACACAAGAAGTTAGCAGACAACAAGAGTTTTTTTTTCTGAAAGGACAGTGGAGATCTGACAGGAAGCAAGTGGGATAGAGAGGGGGATGAGATCACGAATGGTCCACGAGGCGGGATTTGAATTTGAGACACCCAAAGCACAACTGCGCCATATGTTGGCATGTTGCCCACGAGGCTATCACTGTCGAGACAACAAGGGTTTTAACATCACCTCTCATACAAGAGTTTGCAGTCATCACCATTACGGTGATAATGTGATCAAGTTATCAAGCCATCGACTACTAAAGGATGGCGCTTGCTGACTTATAAAGGTCTATACCCACTCTGGCAAGTGCACGAACATCTTGTAACACTCCAAAGACATAGAAAAACTTGAAGTCACATCATATGACCCCTTTAATTCTTTTGAGAATGGAGAAAGACCGTTCCATTAATAGGCTCCAGCATCGTGGTCGCATTACCACTTTGGGAGTGCATTATTTCTCAAATAATTTTAAAGACATGGAGTCACAAGACATTGTTCAGATATTTTATTTCAAGACATTTGTCATGTTTCCATCCTGAAAACTCCAACCCATCCAATAATGGAATGATAATTCCAAAACATCATTTTAGAGCTAATAACAGAGGCTTGAGCCATTGATATGCAGGCTAATGCAGTTATTAGAGATAGAGAGAGACAGAGAGAGAGAGAGAGAGAGATTGAGCACATGTGAATACCTGCGTCTGTGCATCTCTCAGCAGTGTTCAGCAGCAACGAACACTACTAACAGCAAATCTTTTAAGTTGAACTGCTTCAAGAACCTCGCAACTGAGAAAGTTCATGTAGTCATGTAGCTGCTAAACTATTTTATTGATAAATTCGCTGGGCAGCTCTGGCAACAAGTTTCTGTGCGTGCCTCCATGTGTGTGCACGAGTGTGTGTCTGTACTGTGTGTGCGTTTGCGAGAGAGAACGGGAGAAGGAAAGTGTGATTTCCGTACATATAAAGGTGGAAAACATGGAAATAGCTACTAACAGCAAATCTTTTAAGTTGAGCTGCTTCAAGAACCTCGCAACTGAGAAAGTTCATGTAGTCATGTAGCTGCTAAACTATTTTATTGATAAATTCGCTGGGCAGCTCTGGCAACAAGTTTCTGTGCGTGCCTCCATGTGTGTGCACGAGTGTGTGTCTGTACTGTGTGTGCGTTTGCGAGAGAGAACGGGAGAAGGAAAGTGTGATTTCCGTACATATAAAGGTGGAAAACATGGAAATAGTTTGTCATTTGTCATCCTATTGCTTGTTATATTTATTTGCTAAATGTCTTTTGAGGTTTTGGTTCTTTTACTGTTGTAGATAGCCGCCCATAGTATAACAAAAGTAGGTTACACTTTATTTTAAGGTGTCCTTGTTACAGAGCAAATATACATTTAAGTACTGAGTAATATTAATTCACTACATGTACTTATTATATAGTTAGGGTTAGGATTAGGGTTTGGCTTAGGGTTACTTGCATGTAATAATAGTAAGTACATGTAACATGTGTAACAAGGACACCTTAAAATAAAGTGTTACCCAAAAGTATTATATATCTCTTCATTGTACTTGAAGCATATCTTCATGTCTCATCTATCTTTTTATTTTAACTTTTTAAAATAATAATTAAAAATAAACAAATAAGACATTTTATTTTATTTTATTTGAAAATAATGCAATATTTACTCATCCCACAACCCTCAATCAATCAAATTTTATTTCTGGCCCTTTGTAGTAAACGTTTGGTGATGTTTCACTTCTTTCATTTTCACTTCAATGCACTTTTAAACCTTTTCATCCTGCTGCAGTTTCCTACAGGTCATGTGATTTACTGAAAAGATGACTGATCTGCATACAAGTATTTAAGACCACCGCATACTGTGCAGTGTTCTTTCATCAGTCGGGAGATTCAAGAACACAAGACAAATCTGTTGTATGATATTAAGCATTTCATTTGCTCTTTTGGGATTCAAATTCACTTCAGGTTTGTCAGATTTTATATTATTACATTTATTAAAAATAATTATACAATGTACAGCGCATGTAGAATATGATTGTTTATTGTTAGTTCATGTTAGGTCATTATGCATTAATGACTAATGTTAACGTTTAGTAAATGTATTAGTATTTATTGAAATTAACATTCATCAAACTTAATAAATGCTGCATTTTCAGTATTAGTTATTGTTGACTAATGTTGTACTTGAGGTTGCTGAGATGTTGCTGCGCACATTATTTTAAGATGTTTACTATGAGAAATGTAAAGATTTTCATATTTCTGATTGTTTAAATGATCAGCCCTTTGTGGGCCCCTCCAACTGGGGATTTACCTGCTTCCCTGTAGCAATGCCTCTGGTTTCAGAGTGAGTGGTTTCAGGTTTTTAACTGTAAGGTTAGCTGAAACGGTAATAGATTAATATTGCAAAATTTGCAGGAACATATGCCTTCACTTAATGTACTTGAGAAAATCATTTCAGAGTAGGTTAGAATAATATCAAATATGACAGTTTATTAGTAGTCAGATAAACATCCTCCAAATGGAGGCAGGAACTAACAACTGGCATTTGCAATGATCAAGGCCTAGATATAGAGAGTTTACACCTTTTGGGGACAGATGGTAATTTGCATGAAAGACACTGGGAAAGGACAGACCCTCTACAGTGAGCACTTCACTTCTTATATTGAATGAGACCATTGTACCAGTCGCACTGAGACATTTCAAATGATACCAAACATGACTGTGAATATCAAATGCATTCATGTAGAACATTATATGTTGCAATTGACCATTCTGAGAAAACTGGGTGAAGGGAAGAATGGGTAAAGGGAAGTAAGTGGGACAAATGTGAAGGAAGCATAGGTGAGAAAGAAGCTTTCCCGCATCATCTTATGGTGAGATGTGGAAACAGATGTCTGAATGTTAATACACTGTGTCTGTGTTTGCACTGTCCATATCTCAGGACATCAAAGTGTCAGAGGTTCTTCCAGCCTTACAGAAGACCTGAGCCATCATATCCTGGCAAATTTCAATCAAACAACATGGGTAAGAAATGTAAACTATAATAGGATAACATCAATATCATATACATGCTAGTGAGTATATTTTATTTGTTTATAATGTGGTGACATTTAATAGTAAAAATTCTTATTCTGTTTCAGCGGCAGAGAAAGCAGCAGCAGAAGAACCAAGGGCAACTCTACAGTTACCACTGACATTAACAGTTACAATTGTAACAGTTGTAGTAGTAGCTTATGCATTTATGTCAGGAGTAGGTGAAGGAGTAGTCGGAGCAGCAGCTGGAGCAGCAGCTGCGGTAGGCATTTTACATTCACTGTGGGGAGAAGAAGAAAGAACAGAACTACTAGCAGTAGCAGTAACAGGAGTAACAGGAGGCATAGCAGGAATAGCAGCAGCAATGTTGCGTTCAATGGTAGGAGAACGTTCACTAACAGGAGCAGCAATAGTTGGAGCCATAGCAGGAGCTGCAATAGTTGCAATAGCAGAAACACAATTACAATGGGTTATAAAAATGATAAAGCGTCTAAAAGATGCATTGAAACTGTTTGTAGGAGTATGTGTAGTAACAACAGCAGTAATTCTATTAAAATGGGCAATAAATACAATAAAATGGGTAAAAGATCAAATAAAGTTGGCAGCATCCCAAGTAAAAGCAGCAGCACAATGGATTATAGAAGCAGCAAAAAAAGCATTCAACACATTAGCATCATTTGGAGCATCAGGATTAGCACTAACAGCAGCAGGAGTAATAGCCTCAGTAGCATTAGCATCAGCAGCAGCATCAGGATTAGCAGCATTAGCAGGACTAGCATCTGGATTATTTGGAGGATTATTGGGATTTGTGTTAGTACTAGCGGCAGGAGCAGCAATTTTTGGATCAGACTGGAGAGGACAATCAAATCAGCAGCAGACTCAAGGAGCAGATGTGATGTTACCAACTGCTGCTTTTTTGCTTTTGGTTTTATTTTGTTTTCTTGTTACCTCTGCGGGTGTGTTTCGATGTTGCTGTTTATTGTTGTTTCTCTTCCTGTTCCTGTGGTTTCTGCTGTGCTACCGCTCTGAAAAGCACTGATCTTGTTCATTAAGAAGGTGACCAGTATAAAAGCCTCAAAAAGGTCTCAAAAATGAATATGAAAGGACTTGTCTCCATACAGGGACTTTTTTCGCCTGCATCAGTCATCATTTTGGCCTAGCTTATTTCTTTTAGCCATCTATTATTGTGCATTCAGCGTACTCCTGTTATTGTAAGGTCATTGTTCTGCTACTTATGTCACTTCTGTGTACTACTGTATACATTCTATCCAACTTTATTCACTTACATACTAACATAAAAAGATATTTAAAAAGAAATGCCCTCTCAATTTCAACTGCTTTTATCTCCAGAAAATGTCTTAACATGTGCATATATTTGTTTTAACATAGAAAGTGAAATAACAGACACACTGCACAAGTTTCACAAGCATTCAGTGGTTACTATGCAAGAGAAGACATGGATGGATACTACTGCTTGCCTTAATTTTGTACTTTGGAAAATTTGGTTTTGTTTCCATTAGCACCAGCACAAAACACAAGCGTGGGTATTGGGCTTGTTTGTGTTTTGTTTCATAGGGAAGTTAAAGGTCTAAAAGTTTAAACAACGAATTCTAAAACAATTTAATTTCTGATGAGAATTTTAAAATTAAGAGGTTAATAAGTCAAATGCAACCAGATGGAAAAGGCAGAAGCATAAAAAGTGTCTGCCGGGAGGTTTATTTTTATTATGTGCATATCAACTCCAAGTCTTAACATGATAAAACAGGAGATTTGACCTCCATTTCAATTATGTAAGCAGTGGTTTAACCAGTCACTGAAATCTTTCTTCTCAGATTTACTTTATAAACCAGTGTTTCATGATGTAAGATAATCTATGTATTACCAATGTATTCATTGCATAGAATACATCCATTTGCTTGATGGTTTTATAGATTTACATATACACTGGAACACCAATGAATTTTCATTGGCTTTCTACACACGCGCACACTAGTTTCTATTTTTTTTTTTTGTGGGGACATTCCATAGTCAAAGGTTTTTCTACTGTACAAACTGTATTTTCTATCCCCTTAACCTAACCCTACCCCTCATACAAAACTTTGGTCCTCATAATGTAAGGAATACCAGGCGCACACACACACACACACGGTTGTTTGTATTTTTAAGTAGTCAAAAACAGAGCACAACTATATGCATGTTTAAAGGTAATTTTATAGATATAATATATAATTCTTTTATTTAAGATCTGAAAGACAAAAATACATGGTATGATTGAAACATATCTTGCACTACATCATAATGTTTTGCACAACAGGCACCACATGTGCAGTAAATGAAAGTTCAATTTAAATATTAAATAACTGATGACAAAAAAAAAAGTAAATATGTAAACACTAAGCTAGTAAGATATTTGTTTTTCTATTGCAACACTTCCGATTAAAGTGGTTTGGTAACAGTACAAAGAAAAAAGTCATTGAACAAATCTCATTTTCTTCCAGTTGTGGTGAAAAAACAGTGCTCTTCAAACATCCTTGCAGTTATTCAGTTACTTGACTTTTGTTTTTAAAAAATGGTCCGTTGATTTCATTTTTTGCTGCATCATATCTGTTCACGCCATGCCGAACGTTTGGAAAGAAGTCTAAATGAAAACTCCCAACCATCTGTTGTTTTAAACCTAATAATGTTGAAGCACTGAAGATTCATTTGTGTGTATTTAAGGAAAGGTGGCATTAATGTGAACTGTCCTTCTGTGCATATGTATGTGCGCTTTTAGTGGGCTTCTCTTTTTTTTAATTCCCATACAAACAGATGACAGATTAGGATTTAGTAAGGCCCCTGTGCTGGATTAAAATCAGAACAGACTTGACTAGACTAGATTAAATTAGCATCTGGGAGAGAAAGGGGGGTCGGCAGGTGACTCTGTGAATGACTTGAGCTCATAGGCAGCACCACTGTCCACTTCCATGGATTTACGGGAGAAAAGGAGCCGGATGTCCCGATGGAGGTAGATCTTTCCAGATTTGGAGCTCTGGAACCTAAGAGACAGATGGAAGAGAGAAAAAGGGCAAACAGTTAATAAGGCCCACTAATGCATACAAAACAACTAATCAGACATAGTTTGCTAACACAGCTTGCTAATGAGAGTTTCCTTGTCTTCCTCTAGGGGGCGTTGGATAGTTCATAGAGGCATTGGATAGTATTGTGCATGTGCATTGTTGTTGTTTTTTTGTCTTGTGGGACAGATTATACTAGACTATATACTATGCTAAAACGTTATTACTATTTGAATGTGTTTATTAAAATAGTCTGTGTCTGGCATTCAATTGGAACTCTTAAAATTCTTATCTAGTAATCACAAAAGACTGTCCATCTTGATCATAAAGTATTTTATTCTATTTATGCAGCAGTGGTCTAAATAATCATTTAATTCATAATCATTATAATTACTTTTAATTTTAACATCTTGGCTGCCCTTTCCAGGGACCTTTTCCACACTAATTGCATGCTAATTCTACTCATTTATTCCATTTTTATTGGTTGAACACATGAGAAATTGTCTACACGAGTATTTGAAAATTCATGACCCACTGAGCCTAAATCTGAAACTGAAAATACTCATTTTAATATGGAATTTTTTTGGTATTGCCTTCTAAAAAACGTAAACTTCAAAGCACTTATAATGTCGCATGTACTGTAAATTCAAGCTCTTTTTGACTAAATATCACCATCAGACAATATTTACTTAAAATATAACTACACCCATTTCACATACTGTTTTTCTACATGTTTTTTTTCTGTTTATCAGTGCTTAAGTTTGCTGAAAAGTAAACCTGACAAACAGTTTTGGAGACTTAATTCCTTATTCAAGTAGATAAGAGCTGTACTTTCATGACTAGAAAATAGCTGCCTGGAAATGAACAGACTTGCTCTAATAAGGACTTAAAAAGAGCACTGCATTTTCACAGACCTTATCAGGCAACTTCTGGGGGCTAATTAAAATGAGTATACATATTCAGGAATAGGCATGTCGGGGCCACAAGCTGCCTGTTAAGCAAGTGTGGTCTTGACCAAAAGCACTTGACAGCATCATCTGACAGCAAACAATGAGCATTTCAGCCCTGTATTCCAGAAAGAAAATCCTCAAGTGAGCACTTAAGGTGGTCAGCTTCACGCCATGGTACCGACCTCAGATGGACGAGGTAGCGGAGGCTTCGTCCTTGACTCAGTTGGGATGGCTTTTTGTTGTTATGTCCATTGAACTCGCGTTTGACTGGGACTGAGAAGGTTCTCTGCCGCAGGAATGTCTGATGAGTGGCGGGGGGCTTTTTTTTATCATACATCACCACAAACATCTTCACCACTGTCTTACTGGGGTTAAATAAGGTCTGACGCACAGAGACAGAAGACAAAACATCCGCTGAGCATCAAAGCTACAGAAAATGGAAAACACGAGCATGAATTCAAACTCATTTAAAGTTGCAGTCAGTGAGCATTTTATCAGAAACAGATGCTAATTATCGGAGTGGGTGGAAATCCATTAAAACCTCTATTAAAATAACAGTTTTATTTTACTATCGTCCAAAATCATTCATTAAAAACACTGCATCAGAGTGATTCATTCATGACTAACCCTGTTGAAAAAACCAGCATATGCTGGTTAGGTATGTTTTGACGCTGGGATGCTGGTCCTTTGCTGGTTT